GTTAGTAGGGTGCCGTGCACAAGTCAGTTGGGACCCATTTTGCACGTGCGCACGTGCAGGGTGCCGCTTCCAGATCTCGAGAACGGCTGGGCCGATTGTGCTCAAATTTGGCACATCGCTAGAGACCGGTTAGTAGGGTGCCGTGCACAAGTCAGTTGGAGGTACCCCCTCGAAATTTCGCACGTGCAAGGCCCACCCTCTCGCTCGCTCCGTTAGTCGCCCCATAAGGCGTTATACTGGTTGGTATCAGCATTAGTACCTCAGCTGTGACACATACGGAACAGCGGGGTATATCGTTACTATTACCGAATATTCATGGACTGCAGTATCAGGCCGATGCTAAAAAAAATGTGGCTGCAAGATATAACGTGAATATACTTTCACGCAAACAATCTTCACGGCTTGAATACAAGTTAACCCTAGAACGCCTAGGGGGGGGGGGGGGTTGTATCAACCCCCCCCCTGAGGTTTTTTCGAAGTGCACGCTAAACGGCTTGTCGTAGCGGGCTGAAATTTTCAATACCCTCTGGGACAACCTTTGCGCATCTTTTGCCGAAAAAATTGATCGGGTCATGTCAGGTCACGGAGTTATGACGTCATAAGAGGTACAGCCTCCGGCCGACAGTTACCAAACGTGTGCGCCGAATCCCTAGGTTTTCTGCCGGTGATACCCACATTGTTTGATGGATCATGATGAAACTTCCCATGCATGTTGGGGCAAGCATTGGCTATCGTGTGGTGCAAGAAAATTGACCGGGTCAGGTCAGGTCACGGAGCTATGACGTCACAAGAGGAACAGCGTCCGGTACTATTTTTGAAAAGCGCCCGAACCACTATTTTGCTAATTCTTGTCACCTCAATGGGAATATGCAGCAATATTAGCTTCTATAGGGAGTAAATGGACCTCCCAAATACAAAAATACAATCAGATTTCAAAAATTTAAATTTTGATTTTTCGAATTTCTGCCGCCGACTGTGACCTTGCCGACTTCCGGCGCTCCCAACGCGCCATTTTTAGAGCTAGGGAAACGAAATACATACCAAACGATAGAGAATTGATCAAGGAACACGATAGTGAAGGTTTCAAGTCGATATCTCCCACCGTTTTGCCGCAATCGCCGCGGAAAGTTGAAAAAGTTTGATTTTTTTCGGAAAATTTGACCTTTGACCGGTCATAAGTAGGTCAAATGTTGACCTAGGACCAAAAAATATACCACCAATCGCGAGATCTCGTTGAGAGCAATCCGTTGGTTTTTTCCGCTAAGCTCTACGACCTTCCGTTTCGAAACGCCAGGGGGGGTCGTAACAACCCCCCCCCCCCTGGTCGTTCGTGTTATGAGAAATGGCCTGGTCGTGCGAGGGTTAACAGTCGTGCAAAGTGTTCCTTCAGACCTTCATTTCACCATTTCAGTCAAACTGATCGGCAATTATGGACGGTGCTCTGATCTGAACATGAACATTACGGCACGCCCGTCTAAAACTGCCACCGCTGCTCGTCGCCGTTACCCGCACAGCCACGTGGCACAGGGTCTGGGACCATTCCACCACCGTGCCGCGACCCAAATCGGGGTCACAAAGTTACAAACCCCACCGGCACTGGCCCATCCCGTCAGGCCGACCACCCAGCATCCTCCGCGGGGCGGGTTGCAGTGCAGAGTGCATGTGGCAGGGGAAAGCCCCCACTGACCATCGCTGTACGGCCGCTCGAGTCAGTACAGACAGTCTCGACACGTCCCGACACCCTAACCCTATTATACATCCCACACTGCACACCAGGAAGGACCTGCCGGCGCGCGGTACCGTTTTCCGTCTGATTCCAGACCCCCACCGTCGCCGGCGATAGACAAAATAAACCGGCACCGGCAGACCGACTAGATCACTCAGCCCATCCCAGACTCACCCCAGCGCCACTTCCTCGTCCGTGTGAATAAATGACACCATCCTATTTATAAATATTACGAAAGGACGGGGGGACGGGGTAAAGTGGCAGATCGTGAATAGCGAATCTTAAATAGACAGAACGAAGTGCCGCTCGCCGCCACTGCTAGGTGTTTCTCTCCGTGGACACGTGCCACCTGCCGACCGTGTGGAGCTTTGGGAGCACATCCGGCAGGCGGCGGACGCCGGGCGATACGAGACACCTGTGCATAGAAGCCACCGGTGTCGGCTGAGGACCACCCTCTGAATACCACCCAGCTGGGTTTGCGGAAGCAAGTGGTGCTGAGTGTGCTGGAGTGGACGGAACACGGATGGCAGATACGATGTGCGAGAGACACAGTCCATCCGGCCGATACGCAGAAAGATGAAAGGGGGAGGAACGGGTCGGGTAGTGACTGGCGGTGCCCTAGTTTGCAGATGTACTGTGCCCACATAGCCGCCCAATGCTTTTTTTATCGAAAGGCATTGCACACGATGCCGCGTTACAAAAAAAAAACGTTAGAAAAAAATCAGTACAAATGACAAGCGATGTCGACTAGCTGAAAGGAAAGAGCCATGCCAAATTACTGCCAATATTACTACCGAATGATAGGTTTGATCAGCCGGCTGGCACCTGCAGCGTATCCACAGATCCACAGAGCATCAAGTAAGCAGAGGAGGCCCTTCGCCCCGACATTGCTTAGGAGTTAGGAGTCACAGCCTTAGCAGTGACAGGTGACTACTTAAGCCTATGCCGACGGTCGTGAGCTCAGGTAATGAATCTCAGCGAACCGCGACAAACAAACTGCGAGTCGGCGTGACTTAGTGGCAGGTTGTGGCAGAGGATCGCGTAAATTGGGACTGGCTCAATCAGTTCACTTCCATCACGGTGAAACAAGTGTGGTAGGTTTGGATGCAACACTCTGCACGACTCTGCTGGTTACGTTGCGGTTTGCCAGATTAGAGTAGGTTGGCTGGTTTGGTTAACCAGCGTGTGGAGCATGATGCAATCCATCGTGATTACGCAATGTGTCGTTAATTTCTTCCAAGCGGTCTAGTTTCAAAACTATCATGATACTCTGCTAAATGAGCATGGGACTGATCTTTTTTAACTTCAATGATGCTAAAACAGCTGTAGCCTGTAGACAGTTTTATCGATACTGTAGAGCGAGAATTGAACAATGAGCATGTTATACAAGGGTGCAATGTGCATTATTACCGAAGCGGAACGGATTACCAAACGCATCTTTTCAATTAGGAAACAATCCGGATCCTGCCGAACAGACACCGGATATGCTACGATGTCAAATGCCAAAATCGTTCATTACCACTGCTGTTGCTCGCTTTTGGTCTGCAAAAGATTTTGTTGTGTCGTCGAAACAAATCCTGTTCAAACGAATACTTTCTTATCGTTCCCACATATCAACAAAGTCAATATGAACAGGATGCACATCAAACAGTGCGTAAAACAAGTCGCGTACAACACAGCGGCACATCGGTCCCTGTTATTGCAGTGGACAGCAGCGCTCCCTTCAGTTCGGAGCGCCGACTGTGCTGCCGCCCCGGTGCAGGCTGTCAGCTGTTTCCCCGAGTCAGGGTCCGGGACAGCAGCGCCTCGTCAGCACCGTCCGGAGCGTACACTGCGCTGCCGCCCGCTGGTGTCGGCCGTCAGCTGTTTTCAGAGTACGGATCCGGGATACGCCGGAATACGGCCAGGAACTTGTCGCCGCTGTTTCTGGTCACCTTCTGACCCTCCTCGGAGCTGTCGTACAGCTGGGGCACCACCGGGTCGCCGCTCTGGAACGAACGATACCGCTAGAGTCCGGCCGACCGGCTGCACTGGCGCAATGAGGTGGAATGCACCCTGGACGGTGGGGTGTATGGAAAACTGGGCCGACATGACTTGGATGGAGGCAGCGCCAATTACAGCAATAGCTGCTCCGTTTGGATATTCAATCAAAGGACATCTTCTTGGAGAGATGGACAGTAGAATCGTACAGGACAACAGAGTTGAATGGCGGACCCAAGGAACGTATGGAGACTGTGGAACCGATTAAAAATCAATCACCAAACGGCTCAGATGCATCTTAGTCGTTGAATATTTCCAAATATCCCGATTTTTCTCGAGTAACACATAACAATGCTAGGGAATCACCGCACCGAATAGGGTAGTGAGCCTAAAATGAGTATACGCAAAAAATGAGTATAGTTTTGGAAAATGTGCATTACGCCAAAGTTATTTTGAACAAAAATAAGAAAAAAATACACAGTGCGTCCGAAGGTTTACTGCAACAGTTGCAAATACGTCCATCGCCAAATGTCAAGCGACTTTGGTCTGAAAAATGATTGAATGCTTTTTTCAAAAATGTCACAAAAAGTACATGCTAAAAAGTGAAGCCTGGTGAAAATATGTGCACTGCTGAAATAATTTTACCTTTTCAGCTGTTTGTCTCATGCACTGAGCTTGCTGGCAGCCGTAAAAAATAATCGAAAATTCGAAAGCGTAATGCAAAAATTTTAGCATTTATAAATTTCTATAAAATGAGTATAGTTCCATACTTACTTACTGGTCTTACTGGTCGAGCGGCAGCGTCGTTAGCCGGCGGAGGCCCAATAGTTGGCCCCAAGCAGCCTCTGCTCCTCCTAGCTGGAACACCCTGGTCAGCGCCGCTCGGGAGAGAGTGCCTGTGGCCAGCTGGCACATCGTGTGGGCATCGCGGCCACGGGAGGTGGATTTCGCCACCCAACCCCGCTGCAGGCCTCTCTCGCTCATCCTCTTCTCCTCCCACGACCCGTCGTCGCGGCTGCTCAGCTGTCGATCCCGTATGATGAGTTGGATGTCCTGCGTCCCGAGCTCCAGGTAGTCGGAAGCAGAACCGCTGCCAGCCAGGTGATCGGCTCTGTCGTTCAGTTGGACTCCGGCGTGCCCTGGGCAGTATACCCATACGACTTGTTGAGGTAGGTCGTGCCACTCCGGAGGAGCCGATCCGCTCTCTAGTTTGCGCAGGAGAGACTGAGAGTCGGTGCAGATGATGCATGCGGCTAGATCAGGGTGGGCGCTTCTGGCAAGATCCAGACCGCGGAAGATGGCCTCCAGCTCAGCCCTCATGCTAGAGAGGCGAAGGTTACAGCCTCCACGGTGGGTCTGCAGGCTGCCGTCTGACTCCCTCATCACACACCCCCATCCCGATCTTGGGGCGCTTGTGGTGACAGAACCGTCAGTGGCCAGGACGACGAGGGGCTGTGGGAGCTCACTGCTGGTGTCGGCCAGGACCTCCTCAAACATGGCGTTCACTACGTGTGGTGGTAGCTCACGGTCGGTGCGGCTGAAGAGGTCGATCTTGAAGGTCCATCGGCATCTGGTGGCGGGAGGCGTCGCAGACCACAGGTGAGATCTGCGGATCTTGTGCCGACCGCAGAGACCGCGCAGAGCTTTGGTCCCATCGCGCAGCCAGCCCGTGCGCTGCAGACGTGCCAGTGGAGCGCGTGCCAGGGCTTGGTCGACGAAGCCGTGCATAAAGTGTTGCAAAAAATGAGTATAGTATGGAAAGTGTGAATTTGAGCATGGCTACTCCACCGCCTGCTAAATATCGCCCCCAAAGACATTTCCGGGATTATTTTGGTTATGATTACGATCTACCGGCCATCTTCGATGGCCACAATGACTGACGCTGCAGCGTATTTGTAAGCGCGATACGGTAAGCGTTGGAACTCGTTTCGGTCGATTCTCATTTGCTTGAGCTTCAGTCACTGATCTTTTTTTTCTTTTTCATTTTCCTTTATTTTTTATTATTATTTTATTTTTTTATAGTTAAGCGGTGACATTAATTGCTTTATCTACTCCTGGCCATTTTGGCGAAATACCGTACAACCGGATGTGACGTCATGTGATCTGCGACCACCAGTGCCCTCTCCACCAATCGGGAGTCACCGGAAATGGCACTGTGACCTGTCACGTGACCAGCACCGGCTCGACCAATCAGGAGGCGTTTCCGGCGACAGAGGTGACTCCGAGGGTCGGCTGAGCTTTTCGCGTCCTTTTTGCACTGATCGTCGTCTCGTGCGCGTGTCCTGCTGGCATACGGCAAAAACTGGTGAGTTTTGAATGGCATTAGTCTTAGATTCTCCTTCAGTGATAATTTGTTGTGTATTGCTTACAATCTGATTTCAACTTTAAAAAAAAAAATATCAGGTAATCATTCTGGTTTGTAGCGGTTCGCAATTTAGTATGCCCTCAGAACTCTTGATATATTGGGTAATGTTTGGTCATACGGGACCTGCTGAAGGACCTGCCGACCTGAGCTGCGGGCCTCTGCCTGCCGAGTATCGTCGTCATTGATTCAAAAGCACTGGTGTAAATGCGCACATTCCTGGCACGAATTATTAAACAATGACCTCTTTTTTGTCAGGTGGCACCAATCGTCATGCCGAAATACACGGAGGAAGATCTGGGCAGAGCGAAGAAGCTCGTCGCGGATGGATTCACCGTCTACAAGGCAGCCAAGGACACCGGCGTGCCGTACGAGACGCTCCGCCGTCACATCTTCGGCATCAACGTCACCGGCTCCACTGGCTCTGGGCGACCGACGGTGCTGACGAGGACCGAAGAGGACAAGCTGGTGGAAATCCTCGCTTACCTCGCCCGCCAAGCATTTCCACTGGACACCAGTGACATCTGCGATCTGGTCCAGCAGTTCCTGAACAACCTCGGCAGAGAGACGCAGTGGAAGGACAACAGGCCCACCCGCTTCTGGCTGTCACGTTTCAAGGCTCGTCACGCCGGTGTCCTCGCGTCGCGCAAACCGGAGATCCTCACCATCACTCGTGCCAAGTCTCTGACAGAGGAAGTGGTTGGCGCCTTCTTCTCCATGTACAACGGGGTGCTCGTCGACCTGGGACTCGAGGACAAGCCGGACAACATCTACAACCTCGATGAGACGGGACTCTCGACCGATCCGCGCTCGACAAGGGTCATCGTCCCCAGCAAGTCCCGTGACGCCTACCTGAAGACGGCCAGCTGTGGTAAGGCGACATACAGCGTCCTCTTCTGCGTGAACGCCACTGGAAACTACTTCCCACCCTTCGTCGTCTACAAGGCCAAACGTGAGCCCTTTGACTCGTGGATGCGTGGCGGACCGCCAGGAACGGCCTATGGGACGACACCGTCAGGCTGGATGGAGGGCAACATATTCGAGAGCTGGTTCCAGACCATCTTCGTCCCAGAGATCACCAAGAAGCATGATGGTCAGCCCACAGTGCTCGTCTATGACGGTCACGGATCCCACATGACGTATTGGACAGCAGCGCTTGCGAAGGACAACAACATCACGGTGGTATGTCTTCCGCCACACACCAGTCACGCCATCCAGCCCCTCGACGTCGCCGTGTTCAAGCCGGTCAAGGTCGCCTGTGCGCAAATCCTGAAGCGGTGGCAGCGTGAGTCACGACTCGTCGCTGTCGACAAGTCGGTGTTCCCGACTCTCATCTCCCAGCTGTGGAAGGAACTGGATCCGGTCCACGCCGTGGCCGGATTCCGCGGCTCGGGTCTGTTCCCAGTCGACGCTGAGAAGGTTCGCAGCCGGATGGTGGGACCCGGGAGCACGTCACGTGATGACATCCCGTCACCTGATGAGGCGCTCCAGGATGCTGTGCTCAGTGTTCTCAGTCCGGAACAGTCAAGTGAGACGAAGGCGGCCCTGGCCAACAAGACGAAACGCCGCAGCCGAGTTCAAAACAAGAGCGGCGAGGTCTTGACGTCAGAGTCTTCTCTGCAGAGGCTCGAGCTGGAGGCGGCGAAGCGCGCAGAGAAAGGGAAGAAGTCTCCGTCGTCACAGCAGGACAGGAAACTCTCCAAGAAACGCGAAGAGAAGGGAAAGAAGCGGTCTTCGTCGCACAAGATCGAGAAGCCATCCGCGAAGCGAAAAGTGACCAAACTGACGACTCGATCGAAGTAGAGGGGGTAAAGCTCACGCAGGCTTTTGGAAATGTGGCGGTGCCCGTTCGCCACGCCACTGTGACCGTGGTTGGTGTTGTGGCCATTGTCGGTTGTGTTTGTTGTTGTCTGCTCAAGTCATCTATGTGTCTTAATAAATTGAAACGACCGGTAATACATTTTCTTGATTTTTTTTACATTTCAATACTTATATTGTTAGCAACACCGATTTCATATCCACGTTCCAGGCGAATTTCAGCGTCGCAAATCCAGCAGATTAGGCACAATAGAGCGTTGAAACAACTGTACTCATTTTTTGCGAAGGAGCAAAAAATGAGTATAGCCGACATTGGTCAGAAGATGCAATTATTACAGAACAACCGCTCGTCTGACACCGTTGTGCCACATAGGACGTCGTAGTCAGAACACGTAATGTCAATGTCCCATATAGCCATTATTCACACCCTTTCTAGTTTTGAATATATTTAACTGATAATGTAAAACTATACTCATTTTAGGCTCACTACCCTATTTTTCCTTCCACCAAAACAATAGAAAATGCGAAAATAAGGAAAAACACGACAGAGAAGAAAAAGACGATGAATCTGATTCTTTCACCCTAACTCCTAAAACGGAGGATAAAGATTAAAGATATTGGCATTTGAACCCTCATTCGTGAAAGCCCTACGCTAGCTTATTGTCACAAACTTTCGGCGCCACAATCCAGGTAAACGGAGACACGAAGGACCCGACCCGACTCCGAGACCATCGCCATTTAGAGTTCGGATCGATACAGGCTACCACTGGAGACCAGAGCCGACTACCAGTCACAATCAGGGCAGCTAGGGTTGACTCCGTCGCCCTTTACGACTTAGCTTTTAGTAACTTTACCACTAAAATGCAGTGACCACAGAAACGCTTGCCCATAAACCTATGCTACAGCACTGCTATGCTATTTTACAGTCTACAGATGGATCTACTTACATCTACACTACAGCGAAGCACTAAAGCTACGGAGCTATGTACGCTAAGACAGCAGCCAATGCCACGACTGCAGCCAACCAATGGAACACTCACCAGTTCCTCGTCAGCAATCCTCTGGAAGAGGGGGTGCTCCTCCAGGTGCTTGGCCATCCACTCGTGCAGGTCCTTGACGTCCGTCACAGTGTACACCATACCCTGGGTCAGAGGGGCGCAGGTCAGAAACGATACGCTGGTCAGAGGGGTAAAGGTCATCGCGGTACCCTTGGTCAGAGGGGCACAGCTAGGTCATACACCGTACTCTCAGTCAGTCTCAGTCAGTCATAAACAATGCCCAGGGTCAGAGGTGCACGGGTCCTTTATCATCCCCGTGTCGGAGATGCAAAACTTATAAACGACACCATGAACCAGAAGCGAACCCGATCCAGATGAGCCAACTATCCGCTCATCGAGCCGTACTTAACAATAAAGTTAGTGCTCACCCCTTCCTGCAGAGCGTAGGCGTATTCACTGAGTAGAGTCGGGCTGATGATGCGCCACTTGTGCTTGGCCTTCTTGAAGTGTGGATCGGGGAACAGGAAGAACATCTTGGTCAGCTGTGGAGAGGAACATTCATCAACATTCATTCATTAGAGTGGAGCATTCAGCGGGTGGAAATCGGATCACGTAGTGTAATTGGCCACTAGCAATCGGATGGGACAGCGACCAACAGCTAAAAATGACAAAAGTGACAGCATTTATTCAACTAAGCCTGTTCGCGATACATTTCCCGACCAGTCGCTGGGCTGGGCCATAGCTTCTGAAAATAAAAATATGGAAACATGATTACTACGGATTCTGACCTCATCACCCCAAACATTTGAATGACACATTCATGGCTCAGATGGAATATAAAAAAGATCCTTCACAAGCAAGAGTACAGTGTACACGTTTAAACCCTCGACAATAGCTGATAAATTGCCACGGTTCAGTGATAAGTAATGTAGTAGTCATTCAATAAAACTACGTCGGTTCCTATTTAAATAACCCACCATCAAACATTTTCTTACTTTTAGCTTTGCTCCTAATATACTCCATCGGCTACATGTACCCACCTGTCCCTTTCTGAAGAAGTTGGGGAGGTACTTCATGGCGTTGGAGCGGAGGCAGGCCACGTTCTGGTACTGGCCCGGGTGCTGGGCCCGCAGAGCCGTGATCCGGTCTGAGACGTAGTCGGACACTTTGACGCGGATCTCCATCCCCAGCATCAGCACCTCGGGAAACATGGTCGACAGCCGAACTGCGCAACACGCCCGCTTTGTGAGACGAACCGATAATGTATTAACTTCAGTGAGACAATGGCGACATGAATTCAACGAGACAGCGAGTTAATTAGCAACGAAAACAAGTTCATCCCTTCATTGAGTTGACCCAGTGGATGAATATGCCCCGTTAGTGCCTAGTGGCAGCCACTTTTTCAAACGAGTGCATTGAGCGGATTCTCAAGGGTTGCAGCCATCCTACGCGGAGCTGCGTAAATTCTACCACTGACCAATACCACCCGATCGAGAAATAATTAGCACACCGCACCGCAGACCTTACAAGTCGATCAGTGATTGTTAACAGACATCTGCACACAACTTCATGTAACACTCACTCACTGACTTCATCTGGCATGTGACACAACTCTTGTATATTGATAGAGACAAGTAGAAAAGCACGGAACAAATAGTGCGTGGGCGCGTTTCGATTGTGAAATCTTCATCATCATAACATCATCACGATCTTATTTTCTTATCTTGTTGGATATCTTGTTTGGATATCTTGTTTTCTTTTTGATTATGTCATGCTGATGAAGATTTAACATTCGAAACTCGTCCATGCACTATTTGTTCCGTGTTTTTCTACAACAACTCTTACCGAAAGCTATAAGCGCCAGGAACAAATGACGTTGGCCGATTTTCCATACCGATATGGGTTTTACTACCGGCCATCTCAAAGGACGGACAATGCCACTGAACTACTGGGGTGGGCAGTCAGAGGTTCGAGAGACCAATTCGCTCAGTCAAACACTCACCTAGCAGTCCGCCATATCCACACCCAATGTCGGCGAACCGCACCAGATGTTGTTGCTTTTCCGCCTGGTCACTGGCAGTGCAGTCCTTGCCAAAATAGTGTGGAAAGTATGGCGACCAGTCCATGGCATCTGGAGACACTGGACTGAAACAGCAGCAAGCACAGGTTGTGTTAAGAAGATGGATGTAAATTGTAAAGCCAGTTCAGCATTTTGAACACTGCAAGACAACAACTTCATCTGAAGTTACATTACCAGCAAATATTTTCTTATGGCATTGGCACATGAGGCTCTACTACATAGACGACAAATATTACTGATTATGTCCAACTTGAAACTCTCGACTATATCATTATTATCCCCATAATATTGCTACTTACTAGTCAAAGCAGTGGTCAGCTATTGGGTTCGAGTGAGCCCTTTGTCTGTAGAAACGTTTCTGTGGGAGGGCAGCCATTTCTGAAACAGAGAAAAATATGTCCAGCTATTGCTAGATTATCTCACAAAACATTGAAAAACTCAGGAAAAAAAATTAAGATGCAGGCTATAAGGCTTCTTCAAGGCTTCAAGGCCTCAAGCCTATCCAGTTTCCCATCTGCTACCAAATGGGGTGACCTGAATGGTGCTCAAAAGTCAAGGTAGGCATCTTGGTACCAGCCAGTAAAATTGATTTGGGCCATATCTGGTTGTACTCTGGCTAGCTCTGGCACTTACTCCTGCCAAAACATGGGCAAGGTCTGGAGCTCTACTGGAGCTGACACATGATCCCAGAGCTCGCCCTCACTACAATCAGACTTCAGCCACTATATGACAGAGCAGCTATGACTAGCCACTGGCCAGCCAGAGCCCAGACCTGGCCATAGCACGGCGTGGCAGGGTGAAGGTTTGTGGAGGTAAATAGAGGGTGCATATTTTGAGACCTCAATACAAATTGTGGCATTTTGTAACATTATTTCAAATTACTGTAGGTTGTAACTTGTTAGATTCTGTAGGCTACCTATGTCCTATAGTCTGACAACATGTATTCTTGGGGTAATTCAAGGACGCACACTGCTGTGGTTGCAAAATATGCCCCACAGCGCCTCTCCCGAACATCACGTCTTATGGCAGGGAGCCGGTTGCTGGACTTGAGCCAGACTTGGCGGTTCGAAACCATAACAACCCAAACTCCGGAGCCAGGAGCGGGAGCGCTACATACGGCAAAGGGTTATTAACCAGAATCATGGGCTAGGATTTATTTCATGCCGGCACTGGCAGCAGAATTAAGCCATATCAACCCAAACCTCCCTGTTCCAACGGCGTTCCGTTTACACCGGCCCAAATCTGGCATGTCAGAGTTACCACTTCAACTTACCAGGGCAGAACGGGCCATACTATTTTCTGGAAAACTCGCCAGCTGACACAGTATGGTGGCACTACCAGAGCTTGTTATATATCAATGCCAGATACAAATAACTAAATATCCTTTAATTTTCTACGAGTGCCATTTTACGTGTTCATGTTCCTGTCAATCTCCTACCTTATTTATATCAATAAATAACATAGCTATCGTGCGTCGCCAGCTGATTTTATCCAGTACCTAGTTAGTAAGACTAAGGCCCATGCAAAACTGAAACGGGCTTCAACTTTAGCCAAAGCAAGTTGAAATCATTGACCCCGCGTTCGATGTCTCTCGGACGACGAAGATTCTACGTTGACGTCGTCCGGCCAACCCCGCTCGAGGTCAGCGGGGGCTCGGCTGCGGTTATGAAACGTGATTGGCCGGACAGCGTAGAATCTTCGTCGTCCGAGAGACATCGAACGCGGGGTGAAATTGCTTGGCTGGGAAGATGCTCCCATCACCCATGGTTGTGGTGTGCTCAAAACAGTAAAATTGACCAAAAATGCAGGAATACTTATCTACAGGAATATTGTACGTACTCTTGGAAGTGCTCACCGACCTGAGGACCTGAGGCGGACACAGCCCCTATGTCCTTTTTATTTAATTTATCTTATAATTTGAACAAAACACATGTTATACTTCGCTGTAAATGCTACAGCTGCGTCATAAATGTGCATATATTCGGTAGGAAAGGGCCACTAAAAAATACTACCCAAACTCCAATAGACGTACGGGCTTCAGCCATATTTTCCCATGATGCATTGCTAGTCTTTTAGCCCATGGACTCCGATCTTCGTCCTGCCTTATGATCTCGAATCCCCGTTTTATGTTGGGCGGCCACCACCATCATCACTTGAGCGGCTCCCATCGGGCCATGCTCACGCATTGCACGGTGAGCAGTGGAGGTGACCGTTCTCGGGGCCGAGTGGCCTGTCCTTGCAACAGCAATGACATGGATAACTGAAAGTGACAAGCAGAGTACCTATATGTAACAAGAACAATGAGTAATCCATGACAATTAAGAGTTCACCCCCAGGCTAGCCATCTGCTTATGGGCGGCAGGCGCCAGCACCCGTCAGTATAACAGCTGAAAATATTTTCACGCCAACGTCCAAACTCCAAGCCCACCCATGCCACGATTTTCGTGTCCTTGGCAGGGCTGCGGAGTCGGAGTCGGAGTCGGAGTCGGAGTCGGAGTCGGTCGGAGTCGACAGTTGTGACCGGAGTCGGAGTCGGAGTCGATTTTAGAAACCCGAGCCGGAGTCGGAGTCGGAGTCACCGAAAATATGTCGACTCCGCAGCCCTGCTAGGTCTGCGGAGTCGGAGTCGGGAGTTGGAGTCGGTCGGAGTCGACTATTCTGCCCGGAGTCGGAGTCAGAGTCGGAGCTGGTTTTTGGAAACCGGAGTCGGAGTCGGAGTCGGAGTCGCCGAAAATCCATCGACTCCGCAGCCCTGGTCCTTGGGAAGAATTTCCACAGATCAGGGCATTTCCAAACCAAGTGGTGCTCTCAATGTGACGGCACTCGCCGCTCTGTATTGTGCGAGCCATGTTATAGGTACCTCTCCCCAACACAACAAACGTTCCGACATCAAGCGATCAACGACAAAGGCACGTGCGTCACCACAGCCCCTTACATGAAGTGCATGTCACTGTGGTCCCTAGCGTGGGGGTCTCGAGCACAGATGTTTCCCGACAGCGCTGAAACTTTGTCACGTGGGACGTATTTGGAGCAGTGGAACACTTGTGTAGATACATAAATCAATAGCAGCGAGACAGTACCACCACTGGTTCTATCGATAGAATAAGCTGTGGAAGACGGTAGGCAGTGCACTCTGCCATTGTCGAAGAATCATGGGGATGGTGGAAGACAAATCACGCATAAAAATATGCACAAATGATCCAAATTGCAGCAAGAACAACATTCAAATAATCAAATAAAATACACATCACGCATGAGTCATAAAAGAGGCAAATTTCCGACTATGCCCCTACCTCTTATTCATGTTACGCATTTTCATAGAACGTAGTGACTCAGAAGCAAGTTTATAAAATAAAAAAGTGGTCCAATCCAAACAGTGCAAATCAAACAAAACTACCTAAAACAAAACAAGTTTCAAAAAGAGATTATGTGCACTGTGCAATGTGCATCGTTCATCAAAAGGTTTCAGAAAACGTCAGCGCAAGTCCCGACACCCCAAATATCATAAGATATATGTCACATCCGAAGACACGCCTGCACGTTGAATAATATTCCGTACGGTAAAATTATAACAAAACAATTCGATGTGGAAGACGTAGCACACTGAACATTCGTGACCTCCCGGGCACCCCAGCCACCCATCCCAACACCATAATACCCAAAGAACTGGACGGCAATGAGTCCCCAATAGCACAAACCCGGTACATGCCAAAAGACACCGGGAGTGCCGACAGCCTGTAGCCCCGCAGCCCAACTACAAAACCGCAGAGGTCGAGTTTCAGCCCTCATCACAGCTCTTCCTTGTGACTGTGATGGGAGCAGATGCTGGTTTCGTGGAAGCAGAATTGGTGGCTGGCGTTTTCGTGCTCCTTGGCCAGGAAGGCCATGAGCTCGTCCTCCTGCTCCTCCACGATCGTCTGACACTGCGGCACGGGGAGGGACGGCTCGTGAGGCACCAGCACAGAGTCGTGGACGGCTAGGTCAAAGGGGGCAATGTGGCTCGCCGTGTCTTCGCACGATGATGGGATGAAGAAGGGGTGGCGAACGAAGAACTCTATTAAGAGTTCTTCGATGAGATAAGATTAGGAGCTCTATTACGAATAAATTATGAAAAGGTGACTAAGAATACAAAAAGCAAGCAACAAAATGGATTAACAAAGTCAAACAAGTGATGTACATAGGGAGGGCAAGAAAACAGCATAATAACGCACATAGTCCTTGATTCCCCTGTTGAGGTTGGAGTCCTGGAGCAGTTCGAACTCTGACATCCTCGGGTTCATTGCTCCGTCGACGATGATGGGCAGCAGGTCCTTGGCGCCGGTGTCCTTCCAGTGGCCCTGGGCGTAGTCGTCCATCTTCTCACACACGCCCTCCAGGAGCTCACCGAGGTGAACCTCTGATCTCCGGTACTGCTTCTGTTGACAGCAGCGAAATGGCCATGGCATTAGCACGCACATCTCGTTATTTATACCATAAGGCAACTTGCTAAAACTGCTAAGTTTACCTGAGATCTGAGATCACAAACCATATCTGATAAAATTATGTACCTAGTGAGCAATGAGCATTGCAGTAAGTATAAACATAAAAAATGTTACAAAATAGCCTTTATCAGGTACGAGGGGAAGCACACCCCTTCCCCGCCTCGAGTCACGATCGGACCACCACCCTTCACACTTAACCCTCACCGGTTTAGTCCACTTTTGCATCCTTCGAAGGCACAGCAACAAGGAACAAACAAAAATAGGTACAGTTGGTAACTTCTGCACTCCGTAGTGTACTTCAAATTTATCCTATGTTGTGTGACATTGTAACCACTTGTGGACTGTTTGATGAGGTCAGGTGAGCCGCGAGGTCATGTATGTTAACCCAGGCCCGTATGTGGGGGGGGGGGGGTCGAACGGACCCTCTCGATTTTTTTCGCGAATAACTCGCGTAAAAAGCGGCCGATCGTGACGAATCTTTCAGTACCCTCGCGAGTCGCGGTAATCAATTTCACACCTACCCTGAAAATTTCATGACCCTGGTCCCTGACCCAGATGATCTTTGGCCTATGACCTATTTCTCGAGACCATGTTTGGCCGGAATCGCGATTCGGCGTATGTCGGCTCGCATTAGCCGCGCGTTTGTAGTCTTCGTAGTTTCAAGCGCCCAAACATGTGATATGATGTTGGTCCCTCCCATGCATTAAGGTGGATGTCAAGGTCACGTGAAGTTCAGGTCAGGTCACTGACCTCTAATGACCTTGGTTCACTTTTTCGAATTTTATGTTTCTAGGCTAGTTTTTTTTTAGCTAAATTCGAATTTAACAGCCATTTGAACACTTTTAAAGTAGTTTTGGTGCCTTCGTAAGATGCTACGAAGCTGTCAGAGGCGGTTGTCAGTTGTCACGTACTACGAATACCCGGCAGGACCCCTACTGGTTGACCTGACCTGACCCGACTTGGCCTAAATGCATGAAGACATCATCTGTGATCAAAACTGACATGGTATTCGTGATAAGCATAAAAACAAAACAAAAACATAGCAGCCACACTTTACGACGTTCTAACAGGTCCCGATTTTACCGATTTTTGGATCATTGACCTGACCTGGAAGGTCAACCAATGACCTAAGACCATGGGTGGAGAACCTGCCCCGGCCACCCCGGCCGTGGCCGGGGTAACTTTCAGCCTACCCCGGCGCGGCCGGGGTAACTTTTCGACTCTTGTAAATCCTAGAAGCTGTCTCCAAACCAGAAAAGAAAACTCGTTCTTCAAATGTTCACTGCCATGGCCGTAATATAGCAAATCAGGTAACTATTTACTAACATACCATAAGCTCCAACCCCAGGAGTTGGGACCCGCGTGTGGTCGCCAATGCCAAGACTGCTCTCAAATCGGGTTCAGTTTCGAAAATTTGGCGCGCCTTCGGCGCACTTTTTTCCGAACCAATGCTTGACCTCACTGCCTTCGACTGGCCTGCCAGTGCCACCAACCGCAACCATACCCGTTAACGTTTATAGTGTAGCCGTCAGGATGCTCATAAACACCGAGCGTCCATCATGCTTCGAACTCGGATTGTCGTAACCGGGACGCGTGCTCTCGCCACGCGTAGTTCAGCGCTCTTATAGCGACTGACGAGACTGGGACCGGTCGATATCCCTGGATCGACCCCCCTGTTTGTCTTATAGGAGTTTGAGCTGCCCAACATTGAAGAAAGTTGCGTAACTGGATGTCAGTGACCCATTTTAGTGCTTTGGTTCGAACGTTCCATTTTCTCTGTAAAACTCAACATTATACGATGTCGGATCCAATGTCGGATACGATACGCTCATCCTTTAAGAAACACAACATCCAATATTCCATTTCCATGGGTCAGAATAGGGGTTTGCTTATGATGACCGTTAACAACAATGTGAGCATACCGTCTTTCCGACTATTGGTCGCCGGCCGGGGTAACTTTCTAAAACATTCTCCACCCATGCCTAAGACCTTAACACGCGCAGTGGAAGGGTTGCGAGTACTACACCCAGAGGAAGGGTCGAAGTTGTCGAAGTTGTCGAAGCCGAGATATTAGGGGGGCCACAACTTGTCGCCCCCCCCCCTAATATCTCGGCTTCCACTGGAGCTAGAAAGACGAAATTTTGTGGGTAGGTGGGGGCCCTGAGGAACTCTGTTGTGTGTGAATTTCATGACCCTAGGTCATATCTTCAAGGTCAAATGAGGTCAAATTTGGTCAAATCTGCCGTATGAGCGACTTTTTTGCGTTTACACGCCGATAACTCAAAAAGTTACCGGCCGATTTTCTTTTTTCTTTCACTATACGAAAGAACATACATTTGTGAGTACGTATGATGAATTTCTAGTTAAATCTAACAATAAATATGGCAGTTAGAAGCCTGCTAAGAGTAAGATGTCGCCGGCTGAAGCGGGATCGGCCGACGCGGGAAACGCGGCAATCACAATAATTGTGATTTCACTTGACACAAAATTTTGTGTTTACACGCTCATAACTCAAGTTTTCACAAGCCGAGTTTCAAACTTTTTTGACCATAAGATTGCCTGTACATTTCTTAGTCTTCTCACAAAATTTGACGCGAATCAAATGTAATCAGCGGTAAGGAGCGGCGAGCGCCGGCGCGATGCAAAAACGGAACCCGGCCCCGGCCCCGGCACAGTCTACAATTCAGGCGGCGCGTAACGGCCGCGCCGGCAGTCGCGCCGCCGCGGCGGCAGGATGTTTGACTTTACACCGCTATTACTGGAAAAGTTGTGAACCGATTTTCTTATTTCTTGCACGAGAAGATCCGCAATTCAATTGTGGACAAGTAGCCAAAATTTCAAATTGATATTATGTTTTCGGCGCGAGTTATTGTCGAAAAACTGGAGGGATGGGCGAAATCCACCCCCGCCCCCTCATTCCACTGCGCGTGTTAAAATTGGGTATCATCGGCTTCCTCTCGTCACGGGCAGCACGCTCGTTTTTTCCGCGAAGCTCTATAGCTCGAAGCTCTATAGCAGGGGCGAAACAGCGAGGGAGGGGGGTTCCAACGCCCATTACGTTCGCGGCTGGAAAAAAAAAACAATACGGGCGAGGGTTATATTAATTTAAATGTTCAAATTACTCCCTGCTATGCCAGATAAACTTCAATATTTCCTAGCTGTCCTACATGGCCATGCCAGTGACTTACCACCACTGATAGTTTTCCCACATAATTTCACCAGAAATTATTTTGACCCTTTAATATTTGAGTTGTCACAGTGACCCACCTTGATGATTTTTCTAGAGCCATCTGCTTCCAGTCTTCCACCAAGATCAATTACTTTCTTCGGATCCACTGCAGCTATACCTTTCTCCAGTTCATTTACTATCACTTCACAAACTGGAAATGAGGTTCATATCAGATTTAACATTAAATCACTCAAATGACTGAAGAAATCAATTATCATGATTACTATCATCATTGAAATAACTTGAGTTTCTAGTAAAAATCAACATTAACTGACAGTCCCACCATCTAAATTGAAATGCTCATCAAAGGCCAGAGTAGGTATCCAGTTGCTCACCAATGCCTTGCGCCTCTGACTGACTCTGACTCTGACCTCAAGCACAAAAGTGAAAAATAAAAATATTTTTAAGACAGCAGGTATCACGCAAAGTCCTGGTCAACCAGCCACAACAGTGTGGAATTCCTAGTTTAAAAAAAACATCACAAAAATAGACATCAATGATATCAAAACTCACAAGGCAGTAGAAGCCTGTCTCTCTTAATTCAGCCATTTGCATTTGAGTGAAAACCATTCTTACAGATCTTATTCTTAGCTGAGATGCATGCTTTAGTCTGTTCCATAGGATCCAAGCTTGCAGTCCAACTGTCCAGCTGAAAGCACTGCAGTGTGTGACTTATACGCTTGTCTCAAATTATTGAACGAAGATAAATGCCGAAACAGCTTTGACCACAAGCTTGATAGATGATATGGAACATACTTTAATTTAATAACTTTGATTTTCATTCTCTCAGAGCAACTTACCCATACAGTTGAGGTCATCATCAAAAGCAGCATAACCTTTTTGTATGCTCAAAACCATCAAAAGAACAGGAAGTAATGAAATAGCCAGCATCCTAATATAAATTCTGAAGAGTAGAGGCGATGCGACAACGTGGTTCCTTCACTGTAAATTGGAAATAGAAGACTGGGACTTGACTTGTCTTGAATCTATGGTATGCTCAACCCCACAACAGAACCTTTCCGGGCTGAGACTGGTTTCAAATGAGGGCCTTTTGAAAAGAGCTTGATCCTAGGCCTGAAGCCCTAGGCCTGAGACATTTGTCAACGAAAAGCGAGGACCGAATGCCACCCAACGCAAAATTCTAAACGGTTTTATTGACCAATCATTGACAAAAACAAAATAAATACGTGGCATAACGCTAGAGGAAATGTCATGAGCTGCTTTTGTAACTACTGCGTGACATTTGTCGTCCTATCAAAAGTAAACAATAGACGACTCTGATGCTTGCTTCACAAAAAAGTTTCGTATTTGCCTTTAATATCATTCTTTATTTTTAATTAAGGTAAATTAACATCAAAACTTTGACATAAGCTTTTTGTTCAAATGAAAAGAGGAATGAAAAACATCGCGGTTTCTAGAGCAATGAATTGATTTTTGACTGGCGCAGCACGCTCAATTATGTGCACTACATAGTGTTCTAAAATGGACGTCAGCAGCTAGCTTATGCATTCTGATTTCGCGTTGCCAGGCCACTCTGACAATTGCCAGCGCTCAATGGCTCAGCGTACGGCTTATAACTCGCTCACAACGCTATTGAACACAATTCGACGAATTTCACTTTTATCGACGGTTTTGTCTCTATCTGTTATCTGTAAGAATCTTGGCATTGTCCAAGATCATTTTTATTTTGTTTTGTCACTTGTGACATTTTCTTGTTGTTATAATTTTAAAGATGATCGCCAGAACTTTGTGGAGGCTGACACACTGTGAATTACTGACAGTTAGGCCGCATGGCCAACAACGACGATTGCTGTTCTGGAGAAAGGGAATGAAAACCAATGGATTCGGGTGAGTTTAGTAGTTAGCCATGCTTGAAGAGGGTGAACCCCTTGGGGTGAATGTTCGGGGCTGGTGGCCTGAGGGCATGTATTCAGAGATCACAACACAAATTGTGGCACTTTTTATTTATATTTTCAAATCCTCGTAGGCTGTAAGTTATAAGACTAGGCTATAATTAATCAATTTGATTTTTCGTTATTTACGTACCTACTGTTGCGAGCACCTGAGGAGCCAGGGCACCTCCCCCGAACCACCACCGGCCACCTTGAAGAGAAGATGCCCGCATCTGTGACTGTGGAAGCAGTATTCTTTAGAATTACCTATGTTGCTTTTTGAAAGCAGACTGAAATCTGAAATGGTCCATAACAATAGCTAAATGTACAGCAGATGCTGTTGACAGACATGGCTGTTGCATGTTTTGTTAAGTCAAAGTGGTGTGAATACTGGGAAGTCAGGGTTCACTGTTCATATCCCTGTGCTTTCTGCTTTGTACCTAACCACTTCTTCTAGCAATCAGCATACACCCATTGCTGACATGCTGGCATCATCATGTTCTGTAGTATCCAACATCAGTGAGTTTGCTTGTTCTCAGGGCACACACGTGATGTGCCATCTTCATCATATGCTGGGCCTTCTAGTTTAATCTATCACTGCCACTGTAAATGGGCTGTGAGGCCTGTAGCTAGCCAATGCAAATGCAGAATACAGAATACAAAACCTTGGCTGTCTGAAATGAGAGGAATCAGTGCATCTCCATGTTGTCTGATGGTTATTTTAAATCTGGTGATGGAAACTTCTATTCTCACCTCTAAAATGTTGCTTTCATCTTGAAGAACAACTAGTAGTCTCAAGTCTCAGCAAAGTGCATAAAACCTAATAAGATGCTTGTTTGGTGTTTCAGCTCAGCATTTGGTAATTTCTCTCTGGTCGAGCCAGGGACAGTGTTGCCTGCGCAGCCAGTCCCTGACAGCATTCAGAGGCCACCATGGGCAGAGTCTGGTGTGCCCAGTGATCCTCCAGCTGAGGCTGACTGCAAGTCAAAGGATGATCTAGGGAAGATGAGGAGGGCATGCAGACTGGCCAGCAAGATTTTACATGCTGCCAAACAGCTGGCAAAGGCCAGTACCTACCTATTACATGCGCACCATGGAACTATTAATTTTCCAATGAATCACATGATCATCAGTGTATTTGCCTATTTGATGCATAAAAAGTATATCAACATGCAAATGGCCTGGAGCTTTTGATTATTTGAGATATAGAAATGTTACTTTCCAGAATGCATTGATATTGGATAATTTTTACATTGCTGCACTCTGATGTATTTCTATTTCTGTTCAGTCACTTCTGGTGCTCTCTGTTGATTGGATCTGCCCGTTTGCAGCCGGGTGTGACCACTGAGGAGATTGATCGGCTGGTGCACCGGCTGACCGTGCAGCACGGCGCCTACCCGTCACCACTCAACTACCGTGGCTTCCCAAAGTCGGTCTGCACGTCAGTCAACAACGTGGCCTGCCACGGCATCCCCGACGATCGGCCGCTCGAGGACGGCGACATCATCAACATCGACGTCACCGTGAGTCCCCGGTGGGTCCCGCCGCCGCCGAGCCGAGCCGAGTGTGCTTCACCGCCTGGCGGAGCACAGCGACTCACGAGGCCGTAGTCGGCATTCGAGGCGGACGTCGGCCGATTTTCCTCGCTGCACTTTGAACACCGATATCATTTTCATGTGTTTTTACGCTTCAGGATCTGTTATCGAATGAATTACAATTCTCATGAAGGTTGTGTCTCGTCTAATTATTATCCTGTTTATTCTGTTTTTATTCCATCGCATCAGTGCCCAGTGGCGCATGCAAAGATGTGGCTGTGTTCTATTTCTCACTTAACCTTTCCAAACACATGCTGCCTGCTGAGAACCGATGGCGACGTTTTCCCGCGCAGGTGTTTCTGGACGGTCACAACGGCGACTGTTCGGAGACGTACCCGGTGGGGCAGGTGGACCAGCAGGGTCTGCGGCTGATCGAGGCGGCGCGCCGCTGTCGGGACGACGCCATCGCCATCTGCCGGCCCGGTGTGCCGTTCTCAGAGATCGGTGAGACTTGTTCGGGCGTTTATAAGTGTAGGTTCAATGGGGTGCAATGGTTCTTTTCTCCCACGCATCACAATGTCTTCATTGGCTACACTGACCCAGGGCGACCTTACTGCATCTCATATCACCATTGCGACGGCCTGTCACGCCGGTACTGTCCGCGTAACTGGCCTCTCCGGTCTCCACAGGCAGCCGGGTGGAGCTCTCAGCTGGACACTTAGACCACGCCGTGGTGCCGGCGTTCATAGGCCACGGCATCGGCCGCTACTTCCACGGCCCGCCCGAGATTTACCACTGCTGGAACTCGTACCCGGGGACCATGCGGCCGGGCATGACCTTCACCATAGAGCCGGTCATCAGTCAGGTCAGTCCGCCGAGCGGCCCGGCCCTGCGTCCAGTCCAGGTCCAGCCCGAGTTGTGAGCAGACGCGTCTCTCTTTTAGATGACGAGGAGGAAGTAACATATAAATATTATGTCTCAGCGGTGGCATGTATGCAGTTATCTCACGTCGTATCATTACGGTCGCAAAATATGCTACAAAACCTTTCACCGCACCATGTTGCGACGGACAGCACTGCGTGGCACTGTGGAAATGCTGTTTCTTTGTCGCAGGGTTCGCGGGAGATTGTGCTGCTGGAGGACGGCTGGACGGCCATCTCAGGCGACGGGAGCCGGTCGGCGCAGTTCGAGCACACCGTCCTCATCACGGAGGACGGCGTGGAAATCCTCACCGAGCACCGGCCTGAGGACGACCTGGCTGTGGAAGGCAGCTGAGGACTCCAGTATCCTCACTGTGGGTCTGCAGGGCGCCTGAACTCCGCCGCGGGGCCGGTGGACGCCCAGGAGTCTTCTCAGGCCCCAGGAGAAAGAAAGGCTAATATTTTGTTAGCGACAGATCAAGGGGCTAGTCAGAATGTCGATAGGTTATAAAATGAAATTGAAGCGAGCACATCTCTCTGGGAGCAGGGCACACCATCTATTAAATTGTGGCTCTACTCAAAGTCCATGCCAGATAGAATTCTCACGCCTTGAGCCCAAGATGGTAACCGATGTCCGACTTTATTACCCCGCGATATCGTCTCGCTCGCTCGCCCGATCTGTGCCAATACGGCGTTGAGCTATGAGTTGCCTAAATATGTGACGCACTTTTTGAGTGTTTTTGTAACGCCCAAAGCATTATTCGCTGCAGATAGGGCGGCATGCATAACGGCAGCAGGCGATAGCGATTGGTACTTTTTGCGATATTGTGACATGGGACAATATATGGCATTGCTCAACGGACAGAGCGGCTGGAGCTGAAATTATAGCGCAGTTGAATCGGGGAGGAAAAGAACAATTCGCAGATCTGTTTTCAATTGGTTTTTCTCGCCTCCAGTTCGATTTGTTTTCCTTATATTTGGGATCTGCTTCCATCTATCCCCATCCAGGCGAAAGCCACAGTGGCAGCGAAAAATAAGCGGTTTGTAATAAGAAAAATGTGTGTGAGCGCCAGACCTTTTACACCCGTCATCGGTTATAAACTTTCATGAAAGGCTGTAGCGTAAAGACCGGCTGACTGCGAGCGATGTATTTCTATATCTAATTCGACGCATGTGAGCACTTACATTTAAAGAAGTACAATAAGACAGAATACTTGAATCGTCGGGGGTGGCGGCCGGTCGTCGATGACCAAATACAGTACAAACATTTGACTCTTGCTATAAATAACCGTGGGCGGCAAGGCCCGGCGCAACTGGGCGCCTTTGTACGAGTCGGCCGGCGCGTGATTGGACGCGCGTCGGTGACGTCACAACCGTCAGGCACCAATCACAGCCGGCCCGGCCTGCCGACCGGTCCCGTGCCCTCGTCCCGGTTCAAGTATTCATCAAACAAACAACACATCAGTATGTCACGCGCGCCGGCGGCTGGCCGTCTCGCCTCCGCCGCTGCTATAGTATTGTCTCTGTATCTGTTCCACCCCAGCCCTCCCGTCGAGCGCCGCCAGTCGCCGGACGGCTCCACACCGACATCGAGTCGCTCCATTCTCGGCGCCGCCCTCGACATCACCGGGAGGTGAACACCACGGTCACATGATCTGTCTGCGCCGGCGGGCTCCGGCATCACTTGTCCCCGCCGGTCGGGGCGGCCGCGGCTGCGGCGGCGGGCGGCGGCGGCGCCGGATCCAGCCACTCGACTCGGTACCGGCTGTAAAGCACGTAGGGCGGCCGCGCCGTGTCGGTGTTACGCTGCACGGAGGTGCGGCTCGGCTTCAGGCCGTCCACCCGGCCCAGGAACCAGTCCTCCGAGAGCTGCTCCTGGCGCTGCGACACGTGGCCCTCCTGCCACCGGCTGTGCCAGGCGCGGAACCGGGCGCTCAGGTGGCGCGACACGGCACAGTGCGTCTGAAACACGGCGAGCCGGACAGGTCAGATATTCAGTCGGCCAATCACATAACATACAGACCACTGGGTGACTACGTCCGCTACTCCCCGGGTCAAACCGGCGGGAAACGCTGTCATCCTGGCATCAGCTGTACCCAGAAGTATTACCAAAAACAAGCAGGCGACATGATCCACATTTATATCTCGTCCGTTAGCAATACCTTTATGACTGCCAACGCACGCCCCTCGAAAGGAAATCAAGATTGACAAGCCCGGTAAGCCCCCTCGTTTCAACCCTCGTTCGCTAACCTGTCTGGCTTTTGTCATGGCGCCGCGTTTGTGCAGGTAGGTCTCGTCGTTGGCCACACGCATCATGCGGTAGTTGCAGGCCAGCTTGAAGTGCTCGTCGCCGTCCATCTCCAGCGGCTCCGGCTTCACCTTCAGCTTTCGGTCCGTCTCGGGTGAGGCGTCCACGTCCATGCTAGACTCATCCTCGACATCCCTGGCGGAGGCCGGAACACGAGTCGGTCACAATCACTCAGCATCGTGACACAGTTAACGAACAGAGCGGCCCGTGTTACAGCCGACAGACAGCGGCCCGTCAGCAGATCGATGACTGTGACCGCCGCCGGCCGCCGCGGTATGGGCAGCTACTGGCCCGACACCAGTATGCCATCGAGCCGCTATCGACTCGCCGGTGACACGGACCGGCTGCGGTCCCCTCCCTCCTTCTCGTCCCCGCAGCCGACCCCTCCCTCCGACAGGTTACCGGGAAACGGAGCCGGCGGCTGTCAGAGCGCCCGGATAGTCGGGAATACCGGCAGAATCAACAGTGACCGTGATCAAACAGCTTCATCATTTGTCACCGTTACGGTAGCTGAAGCCGTCAAATTAATTATGCATTGTTGTAATTCTCCTAGCTAGTTTCCTATTGTTTATCGTTTTTCTTTATTCTCATTCACCACCCGAGCCTCAGCTCTTTCACTAATCACACGTCTCAGGTCTCCCTGTCTCTCCTGTCAACCCCTCGTCACCCCAGCCTTCTCCAGCCTCCGCCCGGACCCCTGCTCTCACCTATCGCCGGAGGAGGTGGGTGTGGTGGCGTCCCGCTCGCGTTTCACGCCGCCCACGCCGGCTGGGAACACGAGTCGGCGCATTCGGCGCACGATGCGCGGCAGGAACAGCGGCAGGTTGTTGATGCTGGGCGTCTTCATCTCGTCGTCGGTGTGGTGGCTGGGCGAGGCGTACTTCTCCTGATAGGTGGAGCGGCGCTTCTCCTCCGCGAACCCGTCCTCTGAGTCCTCCGAGTCGGTGGTGTCCAGCAGCTCCACCGTCATGCGCGCCGCGTTCTTGAACAGGTAGATCTTCATGCAGTGCTCGTTCTCTTCTGTGAGCATCTGCTCGACGCGTTTGCAGTAGGCGGTCTCACGGAGCTCTCGCTGGTCGGCGCTGGCGCACGGTCCGCCGGCGCCGCCGCTGCCCGATTCCAGCAGGTACTCCTTCAGCGTCAGCTGGGCCACCTGGCGACACAAGAGACGACAGTTGCCAAAACAGGCCCGACAGATATCATATCGGTCGTGGAGATCCGGCTATACAATATTGTAGCATTGTAGGCCGATATCTTCACGCAACGAACAAATGATACCAAGAAGTGACAACAATGACGATTAATTCCAATGGATAATCTTATAGCAGACGAGAAATGATTCTGTCGATTCGATTAGCCACAGCTATCATTCACTTGCGATTAATAGCTAGTCGGCGGCCAATAATCCAAGCTAAATTAGCTGAAGTGAATAGCTTACGTTTTCGGTGACGATGTGCTGCAGCTGCCGGACGGCGCCGGAGACGATCTTATCGGTGGTGAAAGCGTTGTAGGCGTGGATGCCGAACATCTCGCGCAGCGTGTCCTCGAACTGGGACGAGTCCATGTTGTTGTCCAGCACGTTCTTCACCATGTCCAGAAAGGCGGGGTAGTAGTCTTCGACGTCAATCTCGTCTGTAAACGGGGGCGCATACGTCAGGCAAATAAGTGGCAAAAGACAGATAGTCGACAATCATCAGACAACGAACCTGCATCACAGCTTGAGTTTGGAAAAATGAAACTTCGGCAACGTATGAAAAGTCAGGTAGCGACGTTAGTTATGCATTTCATGCACTGTTGATCAACCTAAAACGACACCAGGTACAAGCGAACGCCCAAACTATCCTCCCTTCACTCGAACTGTACCAGCACCATCTCCAATCACTCACTCTTTGGTTTGAGCCGGAGCGCGATGGCGGTGGACTCTGTGCGCAGCTTCTTGTGCTGCTCCTCCTCGGCGGCCATGATGACGGCGCGCTCGTAGATCTTGTTGAGCCGCTCGCAGAGGATGTGGTGCAGCCGCAGGAACAGGTACCAGTTGCTGCTGGCCATGAAGAGCGTGTAGCACTCGCCCGTCTGGTCGTCGTCAGAGCTGGAGGCGGCGTCGCTGCTGGTCGGCGCGCCGTTCAGCTTGCGCTCGGTGCCGCTGCGCCGGACCTCTGGACGGCGCACCTTCTGACTGCGCGTGCGCCGCTCGGCCGGTCGCGCCTCGTCCTCGTCCGACTCGTCATCGGCGTCTGTGGAGACGCAGGACGGGGAGATCAGGCGATCGATCCGGAGACGTCTCATCGGACATTGCGTCATAAATATTTTGAAGAATGATGAAAACGAGGTAACAATTACGCATTATGCGAGATCATGGGTGAGAGGTAATATTTGTGACGGTACGAAAAATGGGAAAAAATATATCAGTCATTCATCTACATAGCAACCAAATATAACAAAGTTTTTGCAAGAATATACAAAGGGATTCATGCATTCATCAGCCTGGTACTCAGCAAGCGCCACCCGTTTATTTGTACCATTTTAATTCTACCTACAGCTTCCACAGACGTCGCCACCACCAGAGTCGACCACTTACCCTCGTCATCATCGTCGCGCTCATCATCACTGAGCTCCTGCTTCGGGTGATAGAACATGCCGGGCAGCGTCTGGCGTAGCAGCAGCTTGATCTTGGCCTTGTCCTCCTTCTGGATACCCGTCTGGCGCTTCACGTGGTGGATGATGAGGTTGGCCGCGTCATTGAGCAGGTGTTTGTTGGAGTAGACGAACTCGGTGTGAGGCCCGCCGCTGGCCGCCGGGTCGCCGCCCGACTCCTCCAGCTGCTCGTGGCGCTCGTCGTACAGAGTGTACAGCTCGTTCAGCAGCGCCTTCGAGCGCAGCATCTTCACGTCGTTCTGTTTGAAGTTGACGCCCTGTGGGTCTAGTGATTTTAGGTAGTACTTCTCGTTCTGCTCGCGCCAGATCTTGTTGAAGCCCTGCGAAACGATGAGAAACGTCATTTGACAGGTAAAGAAAAGAACCACTCAATGTTACTCAATACTACAAAAACCACGTTTAATAAAAGCCACTCCATACTACGCACTAAACGAGCATCCTACGCATCACTTCACGTAAACATCACAACACATCTCCACAACGTCCTCCTCATTTCCCCTCTCCATCCACCTAAGCCCCCTCTACCCCTCACCTTCTGCGCCTCGCGCCACTCGTCCTGCTTGGCTTTGAGCCGGCGCAGCACCACGGGCACGGCCACGATCGGGTTCCGTTTGAGTCCGTCCATGATATCGGCCGCCTTGTCGCCGTAGATGCGGCGCACGGCACGCTGGTGGATGGTGGGCGACGTGCCACCCAGGCAGTCGTCCAGTCGGTAGCGCGCCGCGTCCTCGGGCGCCATCCGGGACAGCTTCTTCTGGACGCCCTCCAGGATACGGATGGTGGAGAGGTTCGTTTCCAGCACCATGTCCAGCTGCCGCACGGGTGGTCACGAAACGTCAGCATGGGTCACGGTGGATCATGAGCCGGGCAGGTTGAGTCAATAAATGTTCAAGACCGTCCTTGCGGCAACAAAGTTACGAGACCTTTGCTTCAAAAGCCCAGAAAGACGCGCCCCAAAGACTCGTTTAATACCCCTATTAATTGTCAGTACATTCATAAACGAAGTCTCGCTATAACCTCACCTCGAAGCGTTCGTCCTCGCAGCGGTAGATGTACTCCTCGTACTGTGTTTTGCGCGAGGTGACGAACGTCGAGTCTTCCGAGTAGGAGGGGAACGACACCCAGGTGTCGTTGAGCACCTCACGGCACAGCTGCGTGCGTCCTGAGCAGCGCGGCTGCGGGTACGACTTGGGCAGCGCGCAGTAGGACGCGCCCAGACGCTTACAGGTGGAGTAGTCTGCCGGGGAGGGACCAGAAACAGGATGTTAGCAACCTTGGACGAGCAAGACATCATGGAAACACCATGCCATGGAAAACAATGATTTGATAACGCCATTGGGACAGCTGGGGTGATGTGCAAAAGCAAATATAAACCTTCACATTCCACAAAAGAAGTCATTTATACGATAAGGCGTCCGTTATACGAACATATCAATATAAATCTAAAGTGATATTAAAGGTAGTGTGCCACCTTTGAAAGATTTCCCATTTTATTTTTCCTAGGATAAGAAGCTTCTGTTTTTACCTAATATCGCAAAAAAAAATCAAAAATGGGCCTGGAATAGTGCCTTTTTCGCCTAAAAGTTTTTCGGTTTTTAGATATGTATCACAACTGTAGTGGGCTCACCTGCAAACAGGCGTCGGGCAACAATCGCGAATGCGGCGCACTTGTGACAATAACCCGGTTTACATAGGGTTTATTGCAAGCTTATATCTCCGTCCGTGATGTTGCAAAAGATGCCAATGGTGCTTAACAATTTACAAAATGATCCCCTCTAAATATTTGAAGACCACTGCATCGAAATTATTGCCAAATTAACAAGCTAGAGCCTCGTCAAAAATGCTATGTAAACCGGGTTACTAAGCAAAGGTCATTATAGTGTTACGACCATACGACGTACGGGAATGAGTTATCAGCTGTCTAATCGTAGACAACACAATGTCGAGCCTTAAACTGTAAGCCCGTATTGGTATTGTTTCTTTTATTTGGCTGTCGAACATTATTTATGGTTTGAAATATGATTTTATGTAAAATAATTGATATGAAAAAGCCGTCTTATAAGTTATGACCCCATTTCACCACACGCAAGTGGCAGAAATGACAATGATCAGCTGACGCATTTTTCTTGGCCGAAGTCAGAGCGCGCGGCCCGACGCACCACGCGTATTTGGAAATTCCGACCTCGACGAGCATCAGAAGCCACCTAACAGGCGTGTTCGAAACCGCAGGAGATGATGATGAACGGGTTTATCGAAACTTGATTGGATGAGCATATCGGTAATAGCGATTTCAGTGTGTGCATTTATTGTTCATAGTGGTGTGAAATGTGGTTGGGGTACGACCGACAACCCGTCGGGGCGAATTTCGCACTGGGGTACTCAAAATTTGAAGAATTTAAGACGTTTCCATGAGTTTTGAAGGTATGGATAAGTTCTAAAAATCCGGTTCTCCTTATCTGGGCCATTAACTCCATACGGTCCAAGAAAGCTGGCACACTACCTTTAAGTCACCATTAACTTATAACTACAAAAAGCCGACCAGGTCTGCGAGCCGCCCGGCACCATCGCTCGCCCAGACGTACCGATCTCGATGGCCTGGTCTCCGGAGACGCGCTCCTGTTTGGCCATGCCCGGAGGGATGGGCTCCACGGTCTCGCGGCCCTCCTTCACGCCCATGAAGTCCTTCAGCCACTTCAGCATTCCCGGCTGCTGCGGGACGCAGCGGGCGGGGCAGCGTCAGTCGGCTCCAGTCGCTCGGACACGCAGTGCAATACAGTGAGCCCAAAAACACAAACAAGAGTGACGACACGTAAAAGATAAGATGGTGATGGTGTTAATAACAGACGACGTGAATGCGTAGAAAAGGAAACTTACTTTGCCGAGGAATGGCGACAGCAGCTGAATGACATCAAGTCGAGAGATGATCTCGCTGTTGTAGAGGGACAGCACCCGCAGAAAGTTGTTGTAGGAGTCCTGGTTCTTCAGCGTCTTCCTCACCTAACAACATCAAAGCTCGAGTCAGCTGAAGGCCATGCATGCCGCATATGAGCAGAACAAGACGTCGATGGCATAAATAGCAAACGTACGTCGATGAAAATACGATATGTAGAGATCCTCATTCCTATCAATTTGAAGAAGCCAGAGGATATGACAACTTAACCATAAGCGAAACAAGAGCTGGGGGCTACGAAAGACGGTGTCGACTAATGAGAAGAAAAACGTTGACCCTTCCGCGCATGAGCATAACCATAAAACCGTTTTTATTTTTGATTTGACAAGCTAAAAATTATCAAAGAAACCCGAAATAAGATCCACGAAGATAACTTTTTGTACGAAATTTTATACAATGAATCTCGATGCTGTCTCAAGAACAACCATTACGCTTTCTAAGTTCCTATGTCGCCGACGTATAGATCATTCACATTTCGATCACATGATCGTCTGTGTTGACAGCTGAATGCTTCCGAGGAATTTAAATATGAAATTTCCGATGAAACGGCACGAGCGCTGTCCTAGCCAGACATTTCCATCCGCCGGCCGGCTGTGCCACCGCCACTAACGCTAGCCCCACGAACCAAAGCACTGAACGCTTCCATTAGGCACCATCCAGCCTCGCGAGAGGAGACAATAAATTTGGAACTTTGAGTTTAGATTTCAGCCGCTATAACTTCGAAAATACCGTCCATTTAGTGTTGACACATCACTTCTGGTACCCTAAGCTCTCCGCGTCACCATACGTAGCCGACACGACTCAAAGTGGCCCAACCAATGGCCTCCTGGGGACCGCGGTACCGACGCAATGGCGGGGCCTACCGCGTGGAGCGTGCGTCGGACGGGGGCGGCCGGCGCGTCAGCTCAGGTCGCCAGCACCGGGGAGCGCCCAGCGGCGCGGCGCTCCTTCCACCCAGTGAGGGCGGATGGACGAGCGAGACACAGCACGGGCCACCGTCCGCCGAGAGCACCGCCGCCGCACAGCAGCCGGCGACAGGTCGGCCGCTGCGCCAGCCAAACGCTTTTCAAAATACGGGGCAACACGAATAAGCATCACAATCGGGGAAGACTAGACGTAAAAGTGGGCGCCATATAGCCTCGTTGCTGGTGCGCCCTAAAACACCAAATCATCATCATAGACGTAAAAGCTAGTCCGTCCACTAGTCCATCCTGAAGAAAGATGGCCGAAAATAAATCTTAAGTCGACAACATCATCTAAGCAAGATGTTAGTTGGATCTCAAACACGCCTGTGCAAACGAGCTGGCAAAGCGGCACGGGCATTCATAGTTGAAGGTAACGACCTAGCACCAAGCAAAAACTAGACATGAATAATTTTACGGATGTGCAATCGTTGCTCATTGCCGAAATCATCCCCTGAAAATGAGACAAAGTGCTAAGAAACAAAAATTATACATGGACAAAAAAGCATAGGCAAGAAAAGCATCCGTAAGGTCTTCTTAGCGTGTAATCCCAGGCTAAGCGTTACGTTTCACAATCAGTGCGAGTCTGAAGGCGGCCGCACGGTGTTTAGTTCGTTCGGACACGAAATAGTCGCGAAATAGCTGCTAATTTCGAAACGTACGATGGTCGCATAAAACAAATTACGAATTCCAGACGTGGGTGCGATAAGAACGAAACGGTGCTACTTCAGGAGCGCAGCATTCAAGTACCTAAAGGCTGATCATTTGATCCGTTACATCGTAGTGTTGGGGCTGGCCGTGTGGAAACTCGCGGATCTATCACGAATATTGTGCCGTCTTGTTTCAAGAGTCCGTGACCGAATACAACCTAAGTGCGGCCTCCTTAAGAGTCATGGCTTGTGGCGTCAACTTGTAGCGGGTGCTTAAAAGACAAGCACAAAAATCAAAGAGCAGCAACCAAAGCAGCGATAAGCACGCATGCAAACAGACGCCAAGCATTACATTCCTACGTCGAGCGGCGACCGCCTCAATATCACGATGTAACCAAAGTAAGCACCACTATAACCTTCAGCAACCACTCCCACTTCAGGAAACTAACCCACCTACCTCCTTGCAGCAGTTGACCCCAACCCCTTCCCTCCACAACACTCACCTGATCGAAGAAGGCGTACTCGTTCAGGGTGGCCACCTTGCCGGCCTCGGCCAGTGTGACATCCTTCAGCATGCCGACGCGCGGCTTCTTGGTCGGTATCGGCGCCGGCGGCGCGGTCGGCATCGGCCGCTTCAGCTGCTTGGCAGTCGGCTGGAAGCTGGGCTTCATCGGCTTCTTGAGGGCGGCCGCGTGCTCCTGGTTGATCGAGCGAGAGTTCTGTTGGTCAGAGGTGGAGGATTTGGAGTTAGAGAGACGTAGGACCTGGGGCTGGAGAAGCAGGAGTCACACTATGGCACAATAGCAGAGCATCAGGAGGAGAACATACCGCCTCACCGCCCAGCAGTCAACTGTCAATGAGACGCTCGCGGTTATCGGTGCTAGCCCTACAGCCACTACAGCGATATCGTTCCCGGCTGATAGCGCGCTATCGACTCACGTTGACGGCGTTGATGGCGTTTCCGTTGGTGGCGTCCGGAAGGAACTGTCCGAACTCGTCCATAAGGTCCTCGTGGCTCTGGAACAGGGTCGCCACCTTGGCGTACACCTCCGTCTCGGTCAACGAGGGTCCGCTAGGGGGGAGACCATCCTTCAGGCTACGCTGGTCCTTCTGGTACGTGTGCAGGATCTCCAGAAACTGCTTGTAGACGTCCGGCTGGCCTTGGAAGCGGTTCTGGCGACGGCGAGACAGCCGGGTCAGAATCTGAGATCTCAGTCGTCGGTCTAGAGGGCACGCTGCGAGCAGACTGTAAACAACGCGCAACCATAACCACGGAAACAATCACGAGAGTTAAATAAATTTCCAGTGCATTTTCCTTCTAGTACAGCGTTCGCACGTCGCCTCACCTTTATTTTGTTGACGTAGTTGATGGCGTGGTTGAACTCCACTGGCTGGCTCTGCTGTGTGCCGCCCACGCCCTGGTTGGGCAGGTTGGAGCCGACGCCGCCGACGGGCGCGGCCGGCGCGGCGGCTGTGGGCGCTGCAGACGGCGGCGGCTGGTTGTAGGAGTGGTGCGAGGTGACGTGGTGGCCCCCGGCGCCGGCAGCCGCCGCGCCGGCGTGCGAAAGGATGTTGTTTGTGCCGTAACTGCTCCTGAGGCCGAGAACAGAATCAAAGCGTCAGCAGAGGCGCGAGTGATCAACAACGCTGAATTCCCGGACATTATTTCAACGAAAAAAAAAAAACAGCACGGGGGCCACTTCAATATATGCAAACCAACGAGTACCAACCACGGAAGTCCTGTCCCGCCTGGCAATCACACACCACTATTTAGCTACACCCAGCCGAACGATTGGGGCCCCTGCTCACCGCGGCGGCTGGGTGGGCGGCTGGTGGCTGGGCTTGGGCGGCGCGCCGGGCGCCGTCGGCAGCGCCTGCGGCGGTGGCTGCTGCTGCTGGGGCTGCGGCGGCGGCGGCGGTGCCACTGTGTCCGAGTACGTCTGGAAGCCGCCAGTGGGCGTGTGCACCACCGTGGTCACCTGACCCGGCGCCGTCATCGAGACGTGCAGGTACTGCCGACGAGAGCACATCAATGCGTTATGAAGGTCCGGTAGACAGGTGTTGGTACGAATATATGGCAATGAACCATACAACGAATGCCGCAGATATGGCCAATGAACCATAATTACCACTAATGCACAAACTAATTAAATCGGACATTTCTATAAATCAGTTACGTTGAATTTAAACTCAGGTATGCTAAGCCACTGTCATGAAGCACAGCTCTCTGACGATACTTACATTATTGCTGGACTGAACCTCGATCTTGTATCCGGGCGGCAGGAATGTGTTGAAGCCGACGATGAGGGCCGGATGTCCTCTGAATAAGCTGGACACTCGCGTGATGACGCCCGGTGTGTCGATACTGACAGAGACGGACACAGAGAGACACGGAAGTCAGACACCCGACAGCGGACAGCGGCGGCTGCGCTCGGACAAACTGAACATACTGTGTAAAGTGACGTTCTCTTTTGACGACGAGACAACCAAGCAACTATGTACCTAATTGAGAATGTTAAGAACAAAAATTCATGAACGTCATTGACACAAGACAGCCCCAAATTACTTACTTTTGTGCCTTGAATTCCTTCATGATGTCCAGGAAGTCGTTGTAGACCTCCGGATTGTTCTGAAACTTGGACTTGACCTGGTCCAGGTAGGAGAGGGCGTCCTCCACCTTGAGTCGGTGGTAGCTGGGCTGGCCGGCGCCGGCGTCGGCGGCGGTCGGCGCCGGCTGAGCGGTGCCCGCCGGCGGCGCCGCCGACAGCGGGCCACCCGGCTGCGGCGGCTTCCCGGCACTGGCGGCACCCATCACCATGGCGGCTGCGGCCATACTCGGCTGCTGGGCGATCGGCGCGGTGGTCTGCCGGGCAGGAGACACGGGTCGGCCGCGGTAAGACACGGGACGGCCGCGGTAAGACACGGGACGGCAGCAGTCAGACGAGCACACGACGACAGATGGAGCGGTTGGATAGACGTGGGTCGCTCGAAAGGTGCACGGTTTACATGTCAGTCTTATCCAACTGAGCCATATTCTGTTCCGCAACTTGGTCAAAATAGCAACGTATCCTGCAGAAAGAATCATGCATATATATCCCCATATTCGCCGGATCAACTCCTTATCTTTAAGTCTCACTGCACGCTCAAGTAAAGCCGCAGACCCCAAAGCATTACGAAACAAGCACGAGTTCAGAAAACATAAGCAATCGCATGTTTAGCTCATAGCTAAACCGGATTAGCTCATAGCTAAACCGGACTGAACCTTCCTGTTGCTAGGCGAATCTGAACGCATCCCGGGAAGTGCAGTGACTCACCCTTCTGACTGGCATAGGATGCGCCTGTGGCAGATGCACACTGGCGCCGCTCGCGTTCGACAGTGTATGCAGGGAGCTGGACACCGACACCGTCACACTGGTACCCACGTGGGAGATCTGGAACCAAACGTGTGGCGAAGTGTCAGCTGGGCGAGTAGGAGCGCGGATACATATGTGCACAACATCTGTCTGTGCTGATTGAACAGGCACCGCAACAGCACGGGTATGTGGCGCCCACAGCTAGAGCTGAGAGCACGGCCTCAGATTAACTGTCTGGGGTATAGTGGTTCAAGAGGCTTTGAACACCCAGCTAAGTCCCACTGCCCTGAAGCAACGTGACTGACCACGTCCGACCGGCAGTCTGGGTCTCTGGGGCGGCCCCGTACACCGTGGGATAGCCGAGTCGGCCGCCGTCACTGACCTGCGGCGAGGAGGAGTGCGGCACCGGCCCGGCGGCAGCGGCCGAGGCCGGTCCTCCGCCGGGGCCGGCAGAGTACTGCGACGCACCGCCGCCGCCGCCGCCGTCACTCTTCACCGAGAGGTTCTCGCCGTAGGCGGCGTGCGCCGGGTGGGCGCCATGGCCGGCCGCCAGCGGCGCCTGCTGGTACGACATGATGCCGTGTACCACGTGCGAGGCGGGCGCCGGCGGCAGCGCCGACGGCTGCTGGCCCTGGCCGCCGTTACCGCCGCCGGCAGACGCCAGGTGGGGCAGCGGCGCGGCGGAGGGCGCCGCCGTCTGCGCCGTCAGCCGCGCCGGGCTCGGCTGGGCGGCCAGACTGGGCGACGAGAAGACGGGCGGCTCGGCGGGCGACCGGCGCGCCGGCGGCACCACGCAGACCACGGCTGGCGAGCCGTCACTACTCACCGGCGGCTCCTGGCGCTTCATCACATTCCCGAGATGGCGCGGGGCGCTGTGGGCACACGGACACGTACCGACCACGCGTCAGCCGTCCGGCGCCGCCGCTCTACCGACCACAGACACAGGTACTCAGCCAGCCAAGGGACATACCGGGTGTTCATTAATGAATGGAATTAAGTAGCTACGTCACGTGATAACAATAAATCACGTGAGCGCATTTTTTTTCTTGTAAATATGAAACATAGGCTTTATCATTTTTTAATACATGATAACTTTAATCACAGCGTTATCCAAACGCTTATGAATGGCTCTGGTTTCGAAGAGCCCAAATCGGCACTTCAAGACAAACTCGCCGTTCCATTATGAACTAGCCGGCTGGGTTGTGGAGAACTGTGCCGGGTTGGAAAGTCTTACCGTGGTTAGACGGGCTTTCTGGCTCTTTCCTAGAAAACCAGCAGCCATACCACATACCACATCTGAATGCTTTTCAGCGTTTAGTGGAGAGATTTAGGATGGTTGCAGCGACACGGCCATGTGTGCGCTCCGGGCGCCAGCCGATGACCCCTGGTGAAATGGAAAAGGTCAAGGATTTCTTCCAGAAAAATGTCACAGCTCATGCTCGGCAGGCTTGTGAAGAGCTTAAAATGTCCATTGGAAAGGTATGGAAGATCCTGATTCTGTCATGATTGGCCTCCCTCGATCGAAGTTCAACGATCGGATCATCTCGCGCGGAGGTACCCATCTGCACTGGCCCGCATACAGTCTCTACCTGTCCTGCCTGGATTTCTCGTTCTGGACCCAAGCTTTGAATCGCGTGGTAGAATCGGAGCCGGAAACAATCAAAGAACTGAAAAAGGTCGTGGAGGACTTCGCCAGAACATAAGCGAGGAGCAGATGAGGAAGATGGTCCGGCACACACAGCGCCGGGCAGAGCCGTGCGTGGCGGAGTGAAGGTGTTACTTTGAGCACTTCCTGTAGGAGACACAAGTGGCAAGCGGGGATTGCGATGATGTCATCATAAATGATAAACCCTCTTGAAAATGCATTGTGTGATTTGATAACGTGAGATAAAAATATATCTATCTGGTGCCTACCTACTTTATTCCATTCATTAATGAACACCCGGTACATGGCAGAGGAGAGCGCCCTGGATGATAACTGATATCACAATAACAAGATGTTGGGGTAGGCGAATCTGATGACACAATAACTTGTTTATATGCTACAAGCATTCTTATTCATAGATTGTAACTCATAAGTGCTACAATTCTTATCAACCAATGTAAGCTGCAAAGTGACCATTCAGTCTCCCCAGAAGTGAGGTTTCCCTTCTGGGGAGTTTTCCTGGGTAGAGCACCTTCGGCTTTTGTTTAGGGACACTCAAAATTGCTACAGGCAGCTGTAACTACCTGTTGTGGTGTGCCTCGCACAACTGTCTCATCTCTCATTAGCACGCCAATTCTGCAAAAAAGCTCAGAGCTCTGAACTCAGTATCGGTATGGTGACAATCTACAATCTACCTGACATTTCCTGGACTGAGCATCAACTGATTGAGCATTTCCTGGACTGAGCATCGACAGACTGACTGCACATTTCCTTGACTGCATGTGCATGACCCGCAGTCAAGCCCAGTCTATCTCCTATTCGCTGAACTTGATCTGCATACCTATTTCTCATAAAATCTGAAAATAGCAGGTCATGCGTCTAATTTCCTGGAGGATCACACAAAGTGTAGCTTGGGATTAATGCTGGTTAGGTAAGGTCAAGATTTCATTTTGCATAAACAAGGATTTACTGAGATTGAGAAAAAATGTGTAAGAGAAACACATGTGAAATAAAGAGATGCGCTGCCAAAAAGTGGATTCATTGTTGCGAGACAAAGAAGTGGGCACAAAGAAAAGCCAGCATAAGTTTCGAGAGCCAAGAAATGGAGAAAAGGTATTCCGTGACGAAAAATTGGCATGCAAAAATCGGTCCTGGAATTCTCACCGAATATCAGGGCCTCGGCTAACATGTTAACTACTGGGGCAAATGCCCCAGTAGAGTCAAGGAATGCCCCAGTAGTGGTCAGGTTTTGCCCAACCTCTACAAAATGATAATATCTTAATATTAACGTACATTCTTTCACTCGGGAGCGGTTGAAGACGTTTGTAGCAAGAAATCATGGGCGGCGGAAGAGAGGGTGCATGGCCGTGCAGCTGCACCCTCAATTACCATCCAAAAACATAGGCGTGCATTGCCAAACATACCTTTTTGCACCTCCATAATCCATAAGCTACCCTTCGTTCGAAAAAGCGTCAAAAATAATGATGAAACTACTTCGGTCAATTTTTTGGTCAGTCAAAGGTCAGGTCATGGGGGTCATTGAAGGCCAAATTTCGCCGAATTTCAGGTCGAATATCGACAATTTGCAAGATGCCGACGTATGACTCGGGAACCAATAGAGCTACAGCGCTGCGGAAAAGCGCATTTGATAGCCATATTAGCGTTTTTTTCTGAGTATTTCTCTCAGATTTGACCTAACGTCAACGGTTTTGCCTGCAGGGGGCAGAAACTTCCAAAATAGACAAATTTTTCGGGAAGTTTTTTCAATATCGAATTTGACTCAAGCCTTGCACGAGCTTTCTTTTACCGACATCGTGTTCCTCTCGTCAAGACGCATCGAATTATAATTTGATCTTGAAAGGTCAACTTGAAAATTTGACCTCAGGTCAAGGTCTTGATCTGACCGGAAATTGTCATGTTGCATATCAGTGGATCCGTACCGTCGAGCTGAACACGTATAAGGCGTTTTCATCGCTCTAGCATGCCTCTTTCAAAAGTTAGTCGCGAAAAACTGTTAGATACCATTTGTGACCTGAAATGACCTCAGAGGTATAAACACGGTCATGGATGGCATTTTCATGTTCAGTGTGTCAAAATTACTTGTAATTCAGTGTTTGAGAGTGTTTAGAATGACTTTCGTCCAAGAGAGGCGGTTTTAACCCGCGCCCTGGTGGGGTCTGTTTATAACGCGACCTGGTGGGGGGGGGGGGGCTATTTTTTGCCCCCCCCCCCCTCGTATCTCCGAAACTACTGGACGGATCCGCAAAATTCAAACGGCGTTCGAAAGGCCTGTCAAATTTGTCGAAAGAAACCAAATTTTATTGACCTCGGGGTCACCGATGACGTCACAGGTCAGGTCAAAGATGAAATGTTTCACCGTTCACGGGTCTTCTAGGGAATGCGCTATAACACCGAGGAAAACGCATTTTGTCGGGAATCAGCGATAGGGTGTCAGTTGCCTAGTAGATATGTTGCTGTTAGAGGTCACTGGTCATACCAGGTCAGGTCACAGGTCAGGTCACCAAAGGTCACCGAGGGTCACCACATGAACCCAACTTTACTAAGGTTGTGCGATGCATGTTTTATGACCATTTTTTTCATTTCCAACTCAATGGTGTTGGTTATAAGACCATCAGGTACGGTTTAGGTCACTTTCTGGTGGAGGTCAGGTCAAGGTCAGGTCAAAAAAGGTCAAATTTCAAAGTTAATATGTTTGCATAAAATGGGTATTGATTCGATGCAGCTCGTCACGGGGAGTCTAATGGTGGTCTTTGTTTTGCGCTACGAGGTCTAGAATTGCTGAAAATGGAGTTTGAAAATTTGACGTCATCAATTTTGAACAGTTTTTTCGCTATAACTTGGCCAAAAAAAGAGGTATCGATCTCAAATTTGGTATGTAGATGGAAGACGGTAGGGACTATCACATATATTCCGGTATTTTCGAAATTCAAAAAACTTTTTGGATTTTTTGGTTATTATATTCAAAAAATCTATTTTTTATTTTTGGGGGTCAAAATCCAAAAATTTCACAAATCCGAGATAGCAGTTTTGTAGCCCTGTCCATTCTACAGCTTTTATGTCTGTATCATTTTTCTGTATTTGCAAAGCTATAGGCCTGACAGCTCTTCCCGCGAAACCTTTTTTTGGGTCGAAAACGGCAGAACATGACGTCACTCTGACGTCATTTCCGGCCAACCTATCGTAGCCTTTGGAAAAAATTTTGGTCACAATGTGTAAAATTGATGTCCGGGAGGGTACTGAAAGGAAAGTTTGGTGACGATCGGCGCAGTGGTTCTGGAGATACATCGAAAAGTCTGGAGGGGGGCAAAAAATAGCCCCCCCACCAGGGCGCGGGTTAAATTTTCTCCCATTGACTTATAATACCTAGAAGACGCAAAATTGACCTGAGGTCACCGATATGAAAATGCCGATATAAATTTTGTACATACTGTTGCCACTTGCTAGAGCACTTCATGGGCCGGATAGCTCCGTTATCCATGATAAATCCATGGACCGGATAGGATTGGATCCCAAATTTGAAAAAAATAGATCGGATATGGGAATTGAAGGTTGAAAACGGATAAGAACAGATAAAATTATAGCATTCGATATTCATGTAAAAAATTAACTGAACTTGTCAAACAGCAGCAGAGGTATTTATTGATTTAGCTACATGCGATTTATAAGCATGCCTTTGTGAACCGTGAGTCTGTGAGATATATGGTTATCTGGTCCCTTACAGTGAATTTGTGATAGTCAACAACCAGTTTTGGTGAAACGGATTATTATGGATATTTGGATGGCTGAAATATGCCATGGGCCATGGGCCATGGGCGGGCCGGATTCTGAAACTCAAAGAAAGGCAGATAATGGGCGGACCTGCGTGACTTGCTGAATATAGGCCGGGCTTGATCCTGAAAATCCTATCCATGAAGTGCTCTAACTGTTGTCTTTATCAATCGCTGAAAGTTTCAAAGCGATCGGTCATTCGGTGTAGCTACGGCATACATTGAAACATTTTATGAGGTCACTTGAAGTGACCTGGTGACCTGACCTTGAATGATCTTGGTCTGAACTTATTACAACATGTGTAGATTTGGTGGAGGATAAGGTGTGGCGCTCCGCGCCGCCGTTTTTGAGATATCCGTGGAAAACCGCAGTGGGGGTGGGGGTGGGGGTGGGGGTGTTCAAACACCCCCACCCCCAGCAGGGCGCAGGTTAACATACGTCGACCATTTGCCCCAGTAGTCAAAATTCCTTAGCCGAGGCCCTGCCGAATATGGAAAGACCCTGTCTATTTTATAAAGCTGTCCAGCTATATTCAATTTTGATATTTCATCTACTCATGAAATGTCCCCCTGCTGCTTTGTTCACAAATTTATACATCATTTTGGGTGCCATTGCCATTATTTGTGGCCTTGGCAGCTTTGTAAAGACAAAGTGACAAAAAAAAATGTTATGGAGAAATTAAAAGACAAAGTGACAAAAAAAAACTTATGGAGAAATAATAACTACAAAAACCTATTTTATCTGTGCAAAAATTGAAAAGCATGCTTATCTTCCCAGAAACTCATTTAAAACAGAACAATGAAATTAGAATAGAATCCACTGAAGAAACATCTGGTAATATCATCCCTGACATCCAATCCCACCATGTATTTAATGAAACAAGTAATCAAAAATCGAGGTCTGGACCTCCAATTACATGTATTTCTTTAATAATTTTAACCACTTACAACGGACTCCCAGTTCGTGTATCCCCAAGTGTATCCCAATACGCAGGAACTCCCGCTCAAAGGCAAATGCGGCGCACGAAATCGTTGTCCCTGACCTCCCCCGCCCCAGAAATCCCCTCCGGATAATGGACTCTCCCGAAATGACGAAATGAGAAACTCGTAGTCTGCAAATACATAATCATATAAACCACAATTACTATCTTGAAACAGTACCAGACAAATCGTAAGAAAATGCACAGAACTATTGCATTTGCCGCGCGGAATAAGAATGATAAAGCCGAAAGGAAACGCAAGCATTGCAGACAGCACAAGCCAGCACTTTGCATGATGACCATCCAAAAAGCAATGCATGAGTCAATTTGACTGAAGCTGCGAAGGTGATGATTACTTGAATTAAAAGTAAATCATGAAAGAGATTTCGCAACGTTTAAGCTTGAACATGACATAGGAAGGGAACTGGAACGGCAACAAAGCGAAGCGCTGAGGCCGGTCGGGCCTGTGGCGCTAGTGACTGTGATGCCATGAAAATGAAATAATCGGGTACTTACCAGGACCGTTAAGACACTTCAACGATAAGAATTCCAATCACCAGAATAGAACGATATATCAGTCTCCACAGCACAAACATGAACGACGCCGTCCGACCCACCTCCAAATTCCCACAAACTCAGACAAAATAGACGCAGCTGGGCCACATAAAAGAAAGACCAATCAAATCGCACGATTCAAAACATTAGGCTGTTACCCCGAACGTGGTTGGTCATTAGGAGTTGCATGGGCTTTATGTTGGCGAATCCAAAGCAGGTTACATTCTAGTGTCGTATTCCTACACTACAGATTCAATAATTCTTCCTAGATGGCAGGGTGGTAGCCAGGTCGTGAAGCCCGGTGCAGCCCTCCGGCCTCCGACATCTCTCCGATATGATGACAGCGGATTTTCATGTTTCACATTTAAACTGCGTTACAGGTGACCAAAGTACACTGGATCTCGCAAATTCGGACCGCCGATCCGGTACAGTGCATGCATTGCAACCTCCAAGACAAAACTGACGGGCGTCTCGACCAGGTCTCGACAGTCGACTCGGCTCCGAGTACCTACTAACTAGTAGAGGCCACCGTTCCGTGCTTCTATCCTCAGGATACTGAAATCCTTCTCCTCCACGCCGCAACCCCCCTCCGGACTGGACAGGCAACTTTATCTCATGCGGGCTGCTCCCTTGGAGCGGCACCGCTGCTCCCGAGGGAGCGCACCCCGTAGCCGGGTGCAGTGAGTGCCTTGGGGCTGGGTGGCCTGTCCTCTGGACGGGCTCAGCCCCGGCGACTCACTAGGGTGCCTGCCCAGACCAATGTCTCCCCCTATATCCTATCATCCTCCCGGCTCTGAAATGGTCTCATTGGACCAAAAGGGCCTAACCCAACAAAACAAACAAACTAGTAGAGGCCGCGATTACCCGTCGACCAGGCTAACGCGTCGGTCGGGTCAAGTAACAGGTCATCAGGACGAACGGTTAACGGTAACAACTAAAATAACAGTGCAGGTCTGTGCAGGACGACAATCTGGCCAGTGCAATAGACTCGCCGCCGCCATAGGCGGCGGAACGGGGAGGGCACCGGGGCACCGTGCCCCCGTTTGATTTTAGCATTTTAACATTAGCCTTATGGGCGTTGCATGGAAAGAATGGGACCAAAAGTTGGCAGTGCCCCCCTTATCGAAGGTGTTCCGCCGCTACTGGCCGCCGCGCCGGACAGTGAACAAGTGGCGAACGCCGAACTCATTAGCCGTTTATAAAAACGTTTAACGTTTCCACGTGTACATAGGGGAAAGTGGGGTAAGACGGGCACCTTAACTTTGGAGCCATTTTTCGGCCGGTAAGAAACATCATAGAAACGGGAAACTGAGTAAAAACCTTTTTTAGACATTTTACTTCCATTCGCCAGAAGATGAGACTTAGAGCTGATTCAACAAATAAACTGCAGCTATTTTTGCAAAACCTTGCAAAAACCCGTCTTACCCCACCCCATGGGGTACCTAAGACGGTCACATGGGTAGGGCAAAGACGGCCAGCTTCTTTCACCGATCAGCGCAGCTCGCAACAAATGCCCGAGATTAGCCGCATTCATACAGTCGCTCGTTGGTCTCAAGTGCTTCGGAAAGGCAGTAGGTATAGGTACGAGCGGTACGAGATTCGTGCAGAAGGCCTATGCTCGTATATAGGTCCTAGTTCAAAAGCTTTGTAGAGCCGTTTTTCACATTGATTATTCGAGAATAAACTGCGCCGCAGGAATATTGCTAACATGTCTGTGAGTATCGATATCGAACATATTCTTAACCTTCGCCCCAGTGGGGGGGGGGGGGGCATATGTTACCACCCTGTCGCGTTTTTCGCGTCACGCGTGTGAATAAAAAACCGCGCCACGCCGTTTGGAGTTGCTTTTTTGTACATCAATTTTGGACAATGTGTGAAATTTTTGATCCCAGGTCATGTCTGGCCAGGTCACCAGGTCAAGTTAACTGACCAAGCCTAAAAAAGTTTGCAATCATGTCCAGCCTGCAGTGTTTGTCAGAGAGGTTTTAAACTTAGTGGATTGCATGATGTCATGGGCGCCTACAATTTGTATATCTCGGATTTTTTATATCCGTGACCTAAGGTCAGGTCAGTGGCGTGACCTTTCCGTTATAAGTCAATGGAGAAAAACGAAAATCCCTCTAGATCCGTGTGTACGCATAGGAACAGTCCAAATATTTCAGGATCACAATGATTTGAACCATCCCGTGACGACCAGGGTGTCTTTTTTGCTGATAGCCTCTAGAAAGGTCATCCGAGGTCATTTAGGCTACAAACAGATTATTGCAAATCACTCTCGATTGGAAAGAGATAGAACGCTGGAGATGGTCTCGTTGAGTTTGTCATGCCGAGGCGCATCGACTGATATGCAACATGACCGTTTTCGGTCAGGTCATGACCTTGACCTGAGGTCAAATTTTTAAGTTGACCCTTCAAGGTCAAATTATAGTTCATTCGACGCGTCTTGGCGAGAGGAACACGATTCTGGCAATAGAAATGTCGTGGCTTTTTTAGTCAAAAGTTATTGTCGAAAAACACTTTTCGTAACGACAACTATTTTTGGAGTTTTTGCCCTCTAGAGGCTAAACCGTTGACCTGAGGGCATTTTTGATGATGACCTTATCAAAAGAAAAGTTCAAAAGCTATCGATTGCTATTCCAAACGTTTTTCTAGCTATCATAGTTCCTGAGATAATGGCATGTTTTCTGAAAAATATAATGACAATTCGCAAATTTTGACCTTTGATGACCTCTGGTGACCCCAATATTGCTCTAAGATGAAAAATGACTGAAATACTTTCAAACGCACGAATCGAGAGCTATCGACTGCTTTTTTACCGTGTCTTTCTAGCCCTCTTAGTTTTTTAGTTAGAGGTGGGTGGTAAGTGGTAACATATGCCCCCCCCCCCCCACCTCCACTAGGGCGAAGTTGGCTGAGACCGCCACTGGGGCGCGGGTTAAAGGGACTATCCCACCTTTAACATGGGGTTTGAGTTGAGATAGCCAAGTTTGCGGCGAGGTTCAGAAACCACTATCTATCTAGGTTGCAACCCCCGCGGCCTCTTGGTGTTGAAGAAATTCGTTCCCTTCATTTGAAAATGGGCCTTGTGCAAGGCCCTATCTTCAACATGTAGCGACCGTTAGTGTGACGTCACCTCGTTTAGTCATTCTGATTTAAATGGGTTTGTTCGTTGAAAAATCGCTTAAAACTTGGTCTGAACTTTGTTGTGGTGCCTACAGAGTAAAAAGAATCAGCTTTATGACAGTAATGTGGCCTGGGGAAGGAGGTAATTTTGGGCTGTGACGTCACATATTTGAAAGTTTGTGTTTGGAATATGGGAAGCCTAAGATGTTTAATGAAAAATAAATGCCAGAACCGTGTTCCTGGTCATCCAATAAAGTCGGGCACAATTTAACTGGTTTTAACAACATTTTAGAAGGTGGGATAGTCCCCTTAACAGTACCTAATGGTTCTTTTTTTCCTACAGCAACAAAAATATTTTCACCATTACAGACCCATTGGATCCACAGTTGCCCGTCTTACCCGAAACTCAATGTCAGAAGTTCAGCACGATTTTTCTCTGTGGACAACTTGATGCAGACAAAGCAAATCCGCGGTAAATGAACACTGGTGGCATTGAGTGTACCACAAGTGATTGCGAGTTTTTAACTCTATAGTGCTGCATGCAAAAGCTTGCACAATACATTATGGATGTTTTCAATGAAATGGATGTTTTTAAAGAAATCAAAATAAAAGATCATTGACTGAACACAAATTCACCAGACTTCAATGGTGGTGTGTAGTGGGAAAGGCAATTCTGGTCCTAATTTTTCTCGCTCGTTAAGCGCTATTGGTTTGGTCTGCAGACTGCAGAAGGGGTGCCCATCTTACCTACCCTGACCATCTTACCCCACTTTCCCTACATATAGGTAGCAGGACCTAATTACGAATTCGGTCGAGCCTTCCTTAAAAGTGTAAAAATCCAGTTTCAACTAAAAGTTGAGGTTGATAAAAATAAGTTGAATTAACCCTCGCACTTATAGGTAAAGGGGATCGAACGCACTCCTCCTTGGTTTTTCGCGAATAACTCGCGCAAAAAGCGGCCGATCGCGACAACACTTACAGTAGGTACCCTCGTGTCAATTAATTTTACACCAACCCTCAAAATTTTATGAGCCCGACCGCAATGACTTTTGACCTGTGACCTCGGTTCCTCGAGACCATGTTTGGCCGGAATCACGATTCGGCATGTCAGCTCATATCATGTGGGCATTGCCCGTCTTTTGTGGTTTTAAACGTTCAAACATGTGAAATGATGTTGATCCTACGCATCATAACGGGTGTCAAGGTCATGTGAAGGTCAGGTCATTGACTTTTGATGACCTTCTTTCGCTTTTTCGAGCTTTACATGTTGTTACGGTCGATTTTGGTTTCCCGACTTATGGGCCATTGACCTGACCTGGAAGGTCAGCTAATAATCTAGGACCTTAAAATTGTGTATCGTCGTCTTCCTCTCGTCACGCGCAGCACGCTCGTTTCACTGTTGTTTCACGCCAAAAAGTGATAATGGGCTGCATATAGGCAGTAGGTAGACGGTAGGTAGGTAAGTAGTGAGTACACCTCGTCCCTTGGTAATTCCTATTCAATGGGAAGGCTAGGAGATTCCTGTGATATATCGACATGGGGGGGGGGGAGCAAGATTACTTTACTAATAGGGGGGAGCACAGGTACCTATTCCCTAGTTACGTTAGTGACCACTGACCAAAGAGTAACATGCCTATCGAAGCATTTTTTTTTTCAAATCCCAAAATCCGTTCTCCCGTGAATAGGTATCCAGGAAGCACGAACGATCTATTTTAAATAGTATCAATCATCCGATCCTGATCAAATATGCGTGTTCGTAAGCTTGTTCTGGTATTGCTTGATCTACCAAGACCGACGAACTTGAGAAAATCGAGTGACTGTACCATTTTCAAAAGTCTCTATCCAACTTTTCGGAAATTCACGGGAGAACGAGAAAGGGCGTCGATATAAGGTGTCACTTTTATCTTATGCTTTCATTTTATGGTAAGGTACCTATTTAAGTATTCAAGGCCCTAAAAC